CGAACGAGCCGAACACTAGCTGTTCGCGAACAACGAGCCGTTTTGACAGCCCTACGTTACTTTACATACATACCACCAAAGTCTAATGTATTCACATATCTATCATATAAACTTTACATTTTATATTTATACCATTCAAATATTTCATATCACATTTAAAATAGTACTATTTTAACTTATAAAAGGTGAAATACATCCTTTTATACACAATTAAGGAGGTATACATGTAAAAATTAAAATTTATGTGTTGAATATGTAAATGCATAAGAATTGACTGATATATATGTAAATCTTCCATCATGTTCTAATGTTGTCGAATTAGAAAATATTCACTTCCTTTAGATGGATAAAGGGAGAAAAGTCAGATATGTTCGTGCAAATAATTTCTTATAATTTAAAATTTTAAGTTTAATATTAAGGATTAATTATTGTGTTTTTATGTTAATTTATTTTTTTTGTCTTAATTAACTCAAATGCAAGTTGTTTTTACATCAATGAGATTACTTGAAAAGTAGAACAAAAAGGAGAGGAGGGTGGTTCAAAAATTAAAATAAGTTGTTGCATATGTGATGTTATGAAAGACTACTCTTTGTGATAATTAGAAAATTTGAGATTATAAATTTTGGATCACATATTAGATTTATTGGGATTATAATACAGACTAAGAAATAAAGGAAGATGATAATAATGATCGACAACAACAATCAGGTGGTGATGATAAATCACAATGGTTGATAGATGATTGTTGGAAAATGATAGTCTAGAGAGGCATATCATGTGATGAAGGTTATGTGATAATAACCGAGCGATGATGATTATGAGAAAATAGTTGAGCAATAATTATTGGGAGATGTCTCTCGAATGTGTCATTAAGGAATAGTAAGTATATCACCCCGATGGATAAAAATATTACCTTGTGATAAATCCTGTCGCAAAATATTTGTTTCAATACTCTATGAGACTGTTTAGCAGAAGTCCTAAAAGTACGTGATTTAATTTCAATATTGGGTCAGGTATCCCTAAAGAGATAAACATCACTAGTTAATTATACCTTAGGAAAGTATATTTTCTAAGAGTACTCTCGATTAAAGTAGTGGATGACATTCATGCAAATTACAACAACAGTTTTTGAGAAGCATAGAACAAAGTTAAGTGTTGCTGAGACGTGAATGCTTATATGGATGAGTGGCTTGGCACATAAAGAGAAAATGTGGAATGAATATATCTAAGATAGGGTTTGTGTAACTCCAGTGGTGGATAAGATTGGAGAGAGTCTTCGCTTTAAACATCGTCCATCTGATGATCTAGTTATGAGAGTATGAGTTTTAGATTCGACTTATGTTAGGAAAGACAGTTAAAAATGATCTTAATCTATCAGAATTAAATAAAAATTTGACACTCAACAGGATGCAGTGGAGAAAAAGGATTCTTGTAGGCTACCCCACATAGTGGGATATAGGCTTGTTGTTGTCGCTCTTGTCAGAGACAAAATGTGTAATGAATAAATCCGTAGATAGAGTTGGTGCAGCTCTAATTGCTGACAAAATTATAAAGCCAAAAGTTTTACATACAAACCACTAAATTCCTACACTTAAAACTTTGTATTTTAATACAACTTTTCATATAAACGTAAGGCTCTAAGTTTGTAAAAAATAAAATTTTAGTTGTTCGATATGTAATTACATAAGAATTGAGAGTAGAATTTCCTATATATAGTTAAAGCTTAAGCCAATAAATGATTCACACCGTGTTGGATCAAAATTTATTAGGATTGATCCACAATCTAATTTCGCACATAGGGTAGGTCAGTGAATTTAGGGCTTAGTGTTTTTAAAATTTATGTTATACATGTTCAGAATCTAGGACATTTAAAGTTTATGTTATACATATAGTACGTAGGTCATGTCTATGAATTTAGCTAGAACAACGATAATCGCTTGAAAATTAATTTTGGATCAAATTTCTTTCAAATCAACCTTCGGTCAGCTCAAAATTGGATCGTTTAACATCATATTAATGTTAGGTATGTCGAAGATCGTTAAATCCATTAAATCATCACTTTCTAGTATTGTGTTTAACTATAGCAAATCCAACTCTTTCACGGATATATTTATTTTAAATTTTGTTTCCCACTGTAAAGCTAATCATAGAACAAAACATTATAATCCCTGTAGCCCCTTACATGATTAATTGTACACCTCAAAATATTTTCATAAAATAAAATAATTTATATGATATAAGAGTTTTTACTGCACTCTCCAATGCAGTGATCGTCTCCTGGACCTGTTAAGCAATATTCAGAAATCGGGACAGTTTCTTCAGTGGCTCAAAGAGGATGTTTTTTTTTTTCACGTTGCTTAAGCCTGAGATTCCTTTGACTTCCAAAAGAAGAAGGAGCGGGCAAAATAGAACAAGTGGTCAGACTGTGGAGGCATAAGACCCTTTAATCAAGCTCTCCCACATACATAATACAAGCGGAGGCTAATAAGATTTCATTCATTCTTTAAAATTTTCTACACTTTGAAGATGTAATCTGACTATTTTATTATATGAATAGACTGTAGAAATGGGACGACAACGCTCCACCATCGATGTACATGAGCGTACCAACAGGAGGCAGCATGACTAGTGCTGGATCGACAACAGATCCCGTGCGACCCAGGTAATTCATGAGCTAAGCTAGTTTGATGTGAATACATGTCAGCTCTAACTAAATTTAACTTTTTTTTTCAGGAGAAATTTCAATGGTTAAAGGAGAGTCGATCCCAGACATTGCGCGGTATTAAGATCTACAAATCCTTCCCAATACGACCTGTGGAGGGAAACTGCTGCAGTGAAGAAGAAGGGTCGAGTCTATGGGCTTGGGTCGCAGGGGTTTGTCTATGATGCTCACCCTTGACCAATGTATATGCAGCTTCTACCTCAACCACACAGAAGGAGGAGGTCTTCAAGCATGTTGTCGCATTCACTGCTGAGATGAAGGTCTGCTTCAGTCAGATGAGGTGAGAGCGAGAGGTGAACATGAAGGTCAAGCTAAAGGTTGAGTTAGATTCGTTTCGATAGTGAATGAGACAGCATTGGAGGAGGAGGAGGAAGAGGCGGAGGACGACGAGGATGAGGATATATAGGGGGTGATTAGGGGGGGTATATCTCTTTTTTCTTTGTTTATGTCATACATTTGAATACACACACACACAAACACTCATATATATATAT